ATAGCTGATGCACCAGTGTTATCGTGCATTTTCCCGATGAATACTCCATTTGACAACATAGAGGATTTATGAAAATCAGTAACGACAACTGACATTCACATATTAGTCGATGAAATGAGAAAAACAGAAAATGGCACACAAGAAATGTTTCAATGAAAAAAAATGATGCCCGTGACTGTATCATTCAGCACTACATGCGAGTAATCAAAGGATAGAAGAGCTGTTTTGATGAATCGATGTCCACGATCACATAAAGCAAATTTTCATCGATTGAAAATAGACGCATTTCTTCAATTGAAATCACTATCGACTGCTTGAAGGCTTCACTTGCATGTATGTGGGAAATTACCAGCTGCTATCGTTGACTCAGAAGTAGGAAGAAACTTCCAACACGTCGATTGTTTATTCCTTGGAAGTGTAATGTGTGTCACATGATCAATTCGTCAATTGTATAGAAATGATCGAATGTATCACTTATCAGAAGTGAAGGCGTCGTTACGTGTTTCCCTATTGCCATGTGTGATTGGTCGGAAGAAACAAATCACGTGCAAGTAGCCTCTTTCTTGATAAAATAAGAACCAACGGTCATAGAGAGTTTTTAATTGTTAAGAACACTGAATAATAGAAAAAGTCGATTTGTTTTCACTCACTTTCTGCACGAACCGTAAGTAATGACTACCTAATGACGCAGTCATTGGAAAGAAACACATACCAACTAGGAAGAAAAACATTTACTTGTCTATGATAAAGAGCATATAAATATCATGCTACGAACACATGATATTCTACAATAACAATAATCAACGCTGTTGCGTTTGCCATGCTGCCTGCTATTCTTTGGTTGGATTGCTGTGCAGAAGATCCTGGTAAATTTCGTAGTGCACTTGGCCAATACAAATCTTTAGTAACATTCACTCAGCCAAATGATTGCATTGCTTACATTGTCGCGCATAACAACGAACAAATATTTCTGATTGCTTCTGGGTCATTTGCTAGAGACTTGGTACCCAAAGTGGCCGACTATCCTCATATTGAACTAATCTTCATATTTTGTGCCTCAATTGTTAATCATGTAGATTGGGCCGTCGATTTTTCGGATAAATTAATGATGTTCGACTTTGGCGATGACTTGTTACAACGCCTCTGGTTGGAGCTAGAGCGATCTTTGAGAACGCAAGCAGAGCAATTTTTAATTCAAGCGAATGAGCTAAAAGAACGAGCTCGGCTACTGAAAAAGCCAACGTGTGGGTGAATAGAGTGTGATATTGATTTTATTGCATGTTTTCTTCGTGTTTCATACAGCTGTATTCAAAATAAACGATCTCTTTCAAAAGAATGCGAAAACCGATTTAGTATCTCGGGGAGGAAGAACTGATACTCATTTCTTTACACATTTCATTACGATCGTTTTTATGTTATTCAGTGAAATACGTAAGACTTACTAGACAGAATACAATTGCCAGAGTGGAAAAGAAACCAAAATTTGCTACTGAAAAAAGTTTTAAGTACAAAAGATATCACCATTCAAATTTTAATTTCACTGAGCGTTGAAACGAAAAGCTTGCAAATTTCACAGCAGCCAAGATTCCAGCATACTGTATACATATTTACCAATTCAAAGGATCTTCTCACAATTGGAAGTAACCCGGAAAAGCTTTTGATTTTCCAGTAGAGACTTCGTATATGGAAGTTTAACAAGATTCGAAACGAGCTTTTCTATGGGAGAAATGATTCCATGACAGCTGCTCTGGCGACAGTTACTATCCGTACACGTTCCCCTAGGACATTTGCTTCTATCATGCTGGCTCGCCACGTCAAGACCCACACCCATATCTACACTAACAAAAGCACTACCTTCATCGTCCACCTTTCCAAAATAGAATTCAAACCTAACACCTGCAAAACGCAAACAAGCAGATCACACCCACCGCAACATCCGCACTTACAACTCACACATAAACCGCACCCACGTTTACATTACGCCCCAACACCCACGCCTCTAACCCCCACAAACACCACTGATATCCACATAAAACTCCAGTATTCACGCCCACACTAAGACTAGCATGTCCACGCGCCACATGTAATTGGCATATCTGCCGCCCTGAAAAAAATTAACTGAACGAAAGTTTGATATCGAAACATCTGGTTACTTCAACTTGCGACATCAAACTATTGATTAACTGAAATCTAGAAATAGAAAACATTTGAATGATTGCAATACCAGTTTCTAAAAGGCAACATTGGACGAGCGCTATATAGTGAAAAAATCTGAGTAGTTGCATTCTCATCATGAAAAGAGGTCATTTCAAAAAGTTTCTGACAATCTTTACAAGTATATGTGTACATGTGACTCTACACGTACAAGGAAATATGCAAGCAAGCTAGAAAATTCATTTTATTTCATATGACCTTCTCTTCAGCCGAGGGAATGAAAAACCGTATGTATTGTAGACAAGGTAACATTTTTTTTGACACTAATGTATCGATTCCATCATGAAGCAGGCCCTTTTAGAAACCGTAAGAACAAAAAAATTAGTGATGAACAACGTGCAGCTTCTGAGGAAATTTTGCGAATAGGCTCCCTTCTCTTGGATATAGTATGAAACACACTAAAGTCTCCCAAAGTCGAAAACTTAGGGACGACGGTAACAATGGTCGATCTTGTGTACGAAACAAGCAGCAGCAAGAGTTCTTAAATACATGACATTAAATGGTAAATCATTCACTATGGTAATGAGCTTCAGAACGCATTTAAAACACATTAATATGGGAACGTGCGTGGTAACAACAACGTTTGTGAGTGATATAATGCCTCTTAATCAGCATCTCGCCGGTATACAGTTTTTAAAACAACAAAACATGATCAAAATCACATTTTCTTTTGATCACTCGATGCCGGTTCACCGACAGTTTCGCGCTGCAAACTTCCACGTAAATTTTTTCTTTTTGCTTTGTTTATGTAAAATTATTGTTTTTTCCATACTTTCTGCAAAACAGTTTGCGGGATGTGGGTGTAAGGGTAGGTGTATGTCGACCAACGCTCACATCCACATTCCACACCCACAGTCGATGACGACAGATGTAAACCTTATTATTGAATCTTTTGCTCAAAGAAAGGTTTTGAAAAGCTTAATTAATATTCAATGTTACTCGATTCGACAAGATGTATTCAATGATGTACGGGGCCAGAAAATACTATCTGCTTTATTTTCGGATTTTTAGTATTTTGCTAGTATATTTACTGAAGTAGGTGAATGTCTATGCTATTGCACAACTAGTCTTGGGTCAATTGCAATGTTTTGTATTTATGCAGATAGCAGGAGGTACTCGAGGATACGGGTGTGGGATGCGGATGATGTGAATGCAGATGTATTCTTGAGTGGAGTTGTTGCATGGATGTTTTGATCTAACGCTCACCTACTCAAAAAATAATGTCTATGGTTGAACGAGCTTTCGCGATCTGTTCAACGTATAGATCATTATCAATTGAGTTTGACAAATTATCAGTGCGAACCCATGAAGGGCAACTGTTATTAATTTATAACATATTGTCGGAAAGTTTGAGATATTTTGTTCAAAACAAGGTCAAATACTTGAATTAATCTGAATTATAACAATTCTTAAACTTCATTGGAATACTCAAAAATTTTCTAATTTCGAAAATAATTTGGATTTAGAATTACCCTTCTACAAATTTATCAGATTCATTTAGCATTGTCATAATGAAAAAGCTCATTTATATTGTCAGTTAAATATTCAATTCCCAACGTCTGAACACGACATTAGCCTTCTATACACATTGATTTCATCGTTCAGTGCGCTTCCAGGTATATCATATTTTCTCTCGACAAAATTCGACATATATTGTTGAGTTTTGTCTAAATTCAGAATTTAGTTAGTTCATTTCTATGTTTCTTCCTGGAGGATACGGTTAGATTTCGGTGTAATTGCGCGTGGATACGACTGAGTTCGGTATGTTACTATTCATGCGTAGTTTAATTCCTTTGTTCTTCCGGTTATTGGAATTTTTGAGATAGATCGTTTAAGAGAATAATGGGAAAATGTGAAAACGAAGCTTATGAATACTCCTGTATTGATGTGCACAGAGCAAGTTTTAATACTAGTTAGTTTAAATATTAAAATTCGTGTCCCATTAATAAGAAACCCAATTACAGCCAATTGGGTACAAAAAGACCAACTTTCTTGCAAAAACAAGTACTCCATGTTTGAACACTCGAAGTTTTGTAACCGTTAACTTTTAAACTAACTAGTTTTAAAAAATTGCTCTATGGGCATCAACACAGAATCGTTCATAAACTTCGTTGTGACTTGTTCTTATTATTCTCCTAGATAACAACTGAAAATTATCTAAGAAAAGCTAGTACCATTTGCTTACCTGATCCGTATGAAAAAAGAACTTTGAATGAACTTCTATCACTGATCAAAAAGTCATGTCATTTGCTTGAACTAATGCGGAGATACTTCAATTTTTATTGTAGCGCTATATATACATATATGCACCAATTGTTTTTCTTTCCTTTCATTCTTTTCTAAGCATTACATGAAGGGAAAAAATGATGTCATTGCAGTGCAGTGTTTAGAGAAGAATGAAAATAAAGGAAAAAAAGAGATTGTCGTCTATATTATATGGAAACTTCTTTCATTTCACTTGAATATTAAAAATAACCTTTTGAAAGAGGCTGAAAGCTTTATCATATTTTTCATATGAAATGAATAAATGATAGATCATTTGGCTCACCTCTCAAAAAAGACGCACTACACAAATTAGTATGTTGAATTACTCATCATATGACTCACGACGAAAAAATCAATGGTTCTCTTACTCACGTCCTTCTTTCTCTTTTTGCATGTTGTTTTTTCCCATATATTATTATTGACACACAATCTAGTTGATTTTTTTATTTATTGTGTGCACCAATGGAAGAGGTTTGTCTTGCATAATTCAATGGCCTATTTGCCTGTAGAGTATTTTCATGATGAATGATCAAAGTAAGCAAATCGTTGATAAACGCAAATGGACATTTCAATATGGAAATAATCGAAAACACTCTTCACAGGTAAATATACTATTATTCGAATTCGAAGAGTACTTTTCTTTTTGTTTCTTTTTCAGTCTAGACACATCAAATATATCGTGCGAAATGGTAATTCTGATCCATATGCTAATGATGCTGTAGGTGATTTGCCAAATTTTCTTCTTCTCTTTCCGTATTCTGAAACCGTATGTGCTATACTTTATTCTACTAGTAGTTGGTTTATCGATCATCAGTCATATTTTAAATTCGAGTAAAAGATGATTTGATTGGCGAAACAAGCCCGATAAATGTAGAGTAGAGTAAGCAGCTTTTCAAAAAAAGAATTGAATAGATGGAATTATCTTTGAAATCTCTCTTGAGGTCAACTCAATCTAGAATCTTTACCAAATGAGTTATTGTGTGAATTATTTGAATATTTGCCAGTGATTGATCTCTTTCGTGGTTTATATCCACTCAAGCGACGATTAGCAAATCTTGTGGAAGAAGCACGTCTGCGAATCGATTTTCGAGGTCTTTCAATAGATGGATTCAATAGGATCCATGCTGAAATGGATCCGATAAAGCCTGAATAATTGAAGCTGGTCAATGCGGATTTGACTGATATCTACAATACACATTTATACGGACAACTATCTCTCTTTGTCCATTGATTCCATCCTAGTTAGTTCATCTTACTTTAAACGCTGCCAATCATTAAGATTGATGATTAACAATAATTGGAAAGACCCTTGGATCAACTCGAAAGTATTTCACTCAATAATTTACGAGTTTCTGTTCAAAATGAAGATGTCGAAATTTCTCAGTGTCTATCATTGCTTCTGCGTTCCATTCACTCTCCCCCAATACGTGGAATAGTACTCGAGGACAATTCGTTCTCGTTTGTGTTTCCATTTAATCATTTACGTCGCTTCAATTGTAGTCCAATACATAGAACAGTACTTGCTTCACTATTATTTCACACAACACAACTTTAGCATCTCTGTGTGAAACTCGAGGATCAAGATGATTGATCCCTCGATTCAGATGATGATGATGAAAACCATGCGTCATTTGAGTGACTTGATCTTCGTGATCTATTTATAGAATTGAATCAAATCTCATTGAATTTTATTGAGCCCTGTTTACTACTATACATGCCGAACCTAATTCGTTTATCTATTATCGACATTTCTGAGTAACCAATTAACATATTTGCTCATCAGTGGGGAGAAATCATCCTGAAGCTTGTTTCATATCTAAGTCTCTTTCGATTCTATGTTACTGGATCGACCGCAGACATTACCCTGACAGATGAAAACTTTTTGGAGCCCCTAAGAGGAGAAGTTTGGCAAAAACAACAATGATACATTGATATCGATGTTCTAGGTAATACCATCGATCATATCTTTACATTAGTATGCCCAATTCAAAAGGATTCTCCTTTCAGAATGATTACAAACATTTCACGAGATTTAATGACAACACCATTGTCATGTAAGTACTCTAAAATGCTGACCATTTCTGTATTGCAATGCTTTTTGAATCAGTCGTTTTCTCTTCTGATTCCATTGAAATGGTGGTGTCGAAATTTTCACACTTAGGGAAGCAATTACAAATTATATTAAACAATCGAGTGTTTTGAAACAAACTGGCAGTCTTTTTCTCAGAGTGACTACACGAAGAACTTTCTAAGACCAAAATCACTGTGTTGACGTCGACATATATGGAGCAGTCAATCTGGAGTGTACAGTCGAAAACTAGTAGTTTCATTCTTTTGCTTTTAAGAAAAATGTCGAAGGCTAAAATAATGAAAGGGGAACGTTGAATAAGATAAATATGAGAGAAGAAAATATCGAAAGAAAAACGTCAAAATGTAAAATAGCGAAAAGAAATTTTTCTGACTCAGAAATAATATTAAGACATTCTATTTGAATATGTAGACAAAAAGAAAAACTTTTAAAATAACAAACATATGACTATCTTTTTCTTTGTCCTCGATCAGCAAAATTAATCCTGTCAGCAACTTTTTCGACTTTATTTCACCGATTTTGGTGTGTGAGTGCGTGTCTGAAGTGTAGGAATGAACGTCAATGTTTTTGACAGTGGATATTGACTAAAGGGTGTGAAGAAAGGAATTACCTACACCCACATGCACCTTACATCCCATTCTTTATTTAATGGTTGTAATCCGAATAATGATTCTTCTTGAATATTTTAAAATCCTTTATTATCAGATATTTCCTCATATTCAATTATTGTTAGTGTTGCCAATACATTTATTAAATTCATTTTATAGCATAACTTTGTAACAGTAAAAACATCATTAACAGCATATTCTTTTAACCCTTTCAATCCCGCCATTTTCTTCTAGTAATATGATATATACGTTCAGGACCACCCCCATATGCTCTGGAATATATGTACTTAAAGCAAGATCAATATCGCATCCTCATTCTGCTAATGTTGCTTCTTTATTGAAATATTGTTTGAGTTCAAATTTAATTGCCGTTTGTAATGAATGTTTGCGACTTGCATTATATTTTCCTTGTATGTCATAATCTTCAAGTTTAATTTTTGTATTAAATAAAGAAAATGAATTGAACTTTTAAGTTCTTCTAATGCTGAATTCTATGAATAAATACAATTATTTGATGTAAAGATGATTGAACATACTTGTTGTATTCTTTTTAATAACAGAGATGTAATTGATGGTAAATATTGAACTTCACTAATGAATATAATAATTGGCAATTTTTGACGAATAAATTCAACTTGTAATGTTGCAGGTTTATGTGATAATACGTCATCTTCTGTATCCATAGAAAAATAATTTTTTAATATTGCTTCATTGATTAATTTATTCATTATAAATATATCCGTCTTTTCATGAATAAAATAACATAATTAATTTTCTGGTTGTTGGAGTGGTGTTAAATCTCCTCGTTGGCATACGCCTTGCGATATATTTTCAAGTTTCATCATTTTTGATTTTCATGAGCGATTTCTTCTTAGTAATCATTCACATGCTGGAATATAATGATTCCTAAAATGCGTTGAACATGAATTTTTCTTGGGAAAGTTCATTTTCTCGTCTTGTCTATCAATAAACAAAAAACGAAAAACAATAACATTAAAACATAAGTTTTTCATTTTACATACATTATATATATATATATATATATATGTGTGTATATTTTTTAATATTTTATGTTACTTAGACAAGTAATAATAAATTAATACAAATGTGGAATATCTGAAACGAAAGAGAATGTAGGTAGGACTCTTATTATTGTATTCTCCTTCATGAATCTTTGTAAGATTATTTTTTTCGTATTTTCTTGTAATTAGAGTAGTGCTGAAAGGTGTTTTCGATCGTCTCGTATGTATGTCGGATAGTTGAGGGGCAGTGAAGGAAAAGATTAAAAATAATGAACTGGAATGTAAAAGAAAGATACAAGTGTTTTCTTTAGATATAGAGTATAAAACGAGGTGTAAGGAAGAAAAAAAATATAAGTGGTCAAAGGACAGCAAAGATAAAGAGTGATACGTGCATCATTCATAAACGTTTAGTATCAATAACTAGAAATTTAATGTATTTAGTTCAGGTTACTAACCCAATATATACCTAATCCATACCTTTTCGTTCAAGCAAGGATATAATGACATCTATTGCAACTTGTCGTGTTAATGTGTGTTTTTTATGTTTGATTATAAATGTTTTTGTGCCGAGTTGTTGTGTAATTCGAAAGGGTCCTTCCTACCTAATATCAAATGTATTTCGTCGGTTGAGTGCTTTTATTGACACTAAATTATTAATTTTGTATGTCAGATTTGTTCGATATCGATCATACCGTTCTTTCTATTTCTTCTGCTGTTGTAAAATATTCTCTTTTGCAGGGTCAATTAATGTCGATAAATATTGCTTTAATTTAATGATGTTGCTATGTTGGAGCCGGGAACCGAAAAGTTGAGCACGAAAAAGAAAAGTAATTTAGACATGCTGATAATGGGCAGCCTGAGAGGAAAACAGCTGATTTTAAGATTTCAAGACTTCAGACGAGTTCACGAGACTTCAAAAGATTTTCACATCAGAAACTTCAAATNTGAATGAATAATTCTTTCTTCACTATCATCGATAAGTGAAATAATTATTGCAAATAATGTTGACCAAGAATCTGATAGTACTCGAAATGTAATCGTCAAACTCACTCGTTGATTTTGATATTGACACATATTGCCATAAAAACTAGGTGGACAAAGACATGTATTTGTTGTTAAGTTCTTTTCATTGTTTGACCAGATAAGTAAATCAAAACCACGATGACATCGAAGTTCATGTTGATCAGACATTTCAATGCGAGATGAACTTGAAAATCTGCGTTTTATTATGTCCTTAGCTTGATCTTCGACAGGTTTGTTCATTCCATTCAATGAAAAATATTTAATTTGTTCTTTTGTCTTGAATTTTGTTTCTTGACATAAAAACTGTTCCACATCAGAACGAATAGATGAATCAGGTGAAAAACAAATACTATCATATGTGAAAATATCTGTTCGATTTTTTACACAAAATTTTTCATCATCTTCATGATCACAAATTGTATAATTATTACATAGATCTGCGACACTAATACATGATTCATGGTATGAATTTATGCAGTAAAAATTATTCGAAAATTGTTCTTGATACTTTTTTTGACATAATGTTGGTTCATCAGTAGCACCAAGACAATCGATCTTGCCATCATTTGCCTGCTTAATAGGAAGACAAATAAGTTCATTCGTATAAGGTGAAACACATTTGTGATGATCTAAAGAACAATTTAATGTTGAAGATAAATCACAACCAACTTCATCTTCACCATGTGGACAATTCCATAAACCATCACAACGAGTATAAATGTTATTACATGACCATTGTTCACATTCTGTTTCATCTGTTTCATTTTGTCCTTCGATAATTATCGGAATCAATTCAGTAAATCCATCACAAATGGTTTGAAATGAAATATTCTTTCTGGCATATTGTATATGAAAATCTTCATCTTCACACCAATTTTCACCTTCCAATTTACAATTGCACTCTTCATTCTTAAAAAGTGATTGATGTATGTACGTCTTAGCTATTTGACATTTGAAATGGTATTTTAAAAGTTTTGTTAAATCAGTGTTATTGATTTGCGTTATATTTTCGTCATCCATGTGTGGACAATCGTTTTTATTGTCCATGAGACGACTTGCTGAGATACACTTTGACGAATTAAAACATTGGTACATGTTTGATCTACTACAAATCTCAGAAGTATAATTAGTAATTAGATTAAACCTCTTTATGTTGTCGAATAGATCGGATAGAAGTGGGTGAAATCTATCCTCCCATGCAGTAGACGCAATCATTAGAGCGATTACCATATCGGGATGAAAACATGTTTTATTGTTGAATAAAATCTTTGGGCAATCAATTGAATACTCATCATAATTAGAGTTGCTATAGCATAAATAAGGCGTTATAGAGTAGCTATCAACCAAAGATAATGCGTCATTTTTTGTATGTGCAAGGTAGATATGGCCAAAAAAAAGAGGAATATTCGGAATGTAAAACATATCTGGACATGTATTGTTAATGATCTCTACACATGCTGGTTTGTCACAAATTTCAGTACACAATGGCTCTTCTAAATCTGGTACTTCTAAAAGGCATTTGACAACTGACCAACATTGTTCAGATGTTGAATTATCTTTAGCAGAATAGATCGCTTTCAAAAGTAACGTTTGGCGTTGTTCCACACAAGAACTTGTCATGAATGTATGGAAACATGTCTTTTCTTCACATGCAAATGATGGTATATCTGTCTTACATTTGTAACTTTGTTCAATGATCCTTTGATTTTCGTCAGAACCATCAAGACAATCAGGAATGTTAATGTCATCTCGAAAAAACGACTGCGGTATACATTGTCCATTAATACATCGATATTCATTATCATTACATTCATTTATTTCAAGTTGCCAACAATGTTCTTCATCAAATTCACCATCAAGACAATCAACTTTTCCATCACAAATTTCACTCCAATCTAAACATGCTGGAAAAGGACCACGATTACATTGTAAATGAGTATAACAGGTGAAATTAGTTAGATTATATTCAAATGTACGATAATAATCATGAATAATTTCATCTAAAGATGAATGATTTTGATGATAATAAGTAATTTCAAATTGACACATAGAACCAAATCTTGGCAGTGTACAATTATAAAATTCTTGAGTTTCCAGAAATATATCATTTGATGTTGATAATTGGTTTAAATAGAATTGATAACGTTCAACAACATCTATCGGTGCTGACCAAAAGTATAATTGTTGACTAGTAATATTCTGTTTCGACAGTTCAGCAAAAGTAAACTTTGGAAAGATATCATTGTTCTCAATATGAAATTCCAATGACCATTCATCATTCATACAATAAGATATTATTTCGTGATTGACATTTGCTTCGTCAATAGAAGCAGCAACACGCAAACAATCGTGTTGTAACATATTATGACTCTCACTGTTATTTATCCAATCTGTATAATGAAGATTGATATGAAGAGTAGCAAAAACCAAATGTAAGAGTATGAAATTTAATAGAAATCTCGTATGATACATTATCTACTTATAATTCAGTGACAAATGAATGCAGTAAGAACTATTTATAAAATTTATATATAGTTTATCATTAGTTTTTTTTCTAAAGGTCATTAGGAACTGTTGACGTCATTACAGTTTCTACTAAACTATGAATAAAATTATTTGTTCCTGCTTGATTGACGTTGTTTTTATGTTCGTAATTGCTGATAAAAAAATGTGAATACTTATAATAGTCGATGGTCCTTATTCACCATTAGTGACGCGACATTTATCTGTTGAAAAATTGACTTAAAATAAACAATTTTCATTAAATAAAACAATTATTCAACGAGTACCATTGTTATTAATTGCCTAGACCAGTGATATGTCTTTTTTTAAACTAAGATTTTGAAAAATGTATGACGTATTTTAATATAAAATAATATTTGTTTGATGATAAATTTAGAATTAGGGAAATAAAGCTATGTTGATTTATCAATATTAATTCTTTAATTTATTAACTGATGAACAGATGCGTGTGTTAATGCATTTATGAACAACAGTGTAGGTTGTAAGTAAATTTATTATAATTTTTTTTCAGTGTCTGCGATGGCGGCGAAAAAAGTTCAACTTTTTTTTTTGTCTTTTTCCTTTGACGCAGTTAGAAGTTTTCAACGACTCTTTTAAGACTTTCTTAGTTTCGAGAGATTTCGATATCAATAAGACAGGCTGAAAGCAACTCCAATTACTGCTCAACTCGAAGCAATTATTAGTCAAAAAATATTTGTTTATTTTTCATTAATGAGACTCAATATCATGAGAGTTTCTTTAAAAGCTCTTTGGTAAACGAATTAAATATTATTTTCATGGATCCATGCTAGGTTACTCGAAGTAACTCTAGCTCAGGCATGACGAGGACCCATCGAAACAATATTTGATTCTTATATTAAATGTCTTTTATAGAAAACAGTTTGGTGTTGAGTGTGGATTTCGGTGTAATTGAAGAAAAGATCGTTTTTGTTCTGATAATCAAATAAATTTGTCATAAGTTGTAATCATTAATTATTTATAGACACATGTTTTTTTTTAAGAAAATTTCCTTTTCAGACGTGAAAATCAATTTATTTTCCAAGTTTTGGTTTTTTTTACCTCTCTAGATACTTTGAGTTATTCACTTTTTGATCCATTGAAAATTCTCTTAAATGTCGACGTTTATATCTCGATAAATCATCTTTTGAGATACTCCCACAACATACTATGGTATTTTTTGGCTTTTTTAAAATATTTTTCACATCTAGAATTTATCAGACTTTATGTATACCATCGAAAAGCTTCAATCAATTTAAACTTACATTTTCGGATATGGTTTTATATATGAGTTGGTGTAAGACAAATGCAAATGCGTCTATAATATTCGAGAGCTCAGTAAGGCATAGATAAACTTTACTTGCAACAATAAAAGGGTGTCATTTGATCTATGTCGAAACATGAACTGACTTTTTTAGACATTGGCATAAACATATACATGCTCAAATTGACATTAACGAAATTTACTACTCTACTCTTTATTATCAATTGTTTCATTCATTTGTCCTACAGATTTCTCTTCTATCCATGTAGCCTACAAGATGAATACGAAACTGCACCTTTTTAATCACTTGGCATTTAATCTGAACATACACATTCTCTCTGCCATTCAAATGTGATTTATGCTTTAAATACATTTTTAGAAAACGAACAATTTACTTTTGATACAAACATGGATAGAAATAACAATTAAGAAATACCATGTTCTATCGATCGATCTATAGAGACTTTGTGAATGAAAAAGTTATTGATGAGATTTTATTCATTCTTCAATGAAAAATTTGACTTGATTTCTTTTTGTGATACTAAGGCTTAACTTCCTCGCCATAACTTTTTACTTAAGCGATTTTTCGATAGGATATCAGTATGGCAAAGACATCCTTTTTCCCGAAAGACGAATTAATCTCAATGATTTAGGGAACTACTTAAGAGAGTAAAGTTTTTGAAAATTCTGTATACGCACTTTTAGAACTAATTTCAAGATTCTCATGAAAGAACATCGATCAAATATCGGCAAATTTGTACCGTCATCTACCTTTTCAATGCATGTAGCAGCTGAGCATGTGCATGCGATTTTCAGATGGGTGCGGCTGGAAGTCAGTAAGGGAATTCATTCACATCCACAGCTTCTATTTTTCGTTCAGTGTTTTTCGTAAAAACACTAAAGGGTTTATTTGTCATTGAGTTTTTGAGTAAAACAAATTATTGATACACCACTATACATTAAGTCATTAGCGATACATTGACGTCTAAACATATAATAACAACAACATAAAAAAACGAAGAGTAATGCAAAGAAAATCAGATGCTCAAATAATAGTTTTTGATCAAATGGAGCAAATATTTCTCGTCTGTCTCTCTTTCCTTCATTTTACATTTATGAAACAAACTACCAATGTATCGTTGACGTTGCTTGTCTTTTACCTTTTCTTTTGAAAAAAGAAAATTTTGTAAATATTTACAATCAATGAATTATTTAGGTTCAGTTTTTCATCTATCTGTTTAAGGATGTGTTAAATTTCGATTTATTATTAGCTTTTTATTTTTATCAACTATCTTCAGTTCTTTTTTTCTTGCGGAAATATTCATAATTACCAGAGAAGTAGAATGTTATTCCTGTAATGTTTGTGAAAAAACAATAGAAAAGCAAAGAGTCAAAAACAACACCCATTATGTTGCAAAAAAGATATTGACTCTTGCTGTCCTCTAATAGTTTCTGCTTATAATGAAATATGTTTAACTTACATTTATATGAGATTTTACACCAGCGATTTGAGCACATGAGAAATCTGTCTTATATGATAATTTTTAAAAAGTTTTCTTTCATCTGAGTCAAAATCAAACAATTGATACTACTCTGACTATTCCTCATTATAATTATTTTAATTTTTACATTGAATTCTTTCTTATCGATATGCCAATTGTATGCAAATTACATTTTTCAGTAAGATTGAATCCTGAAGAACATGAAAATCTCGAAGATGTTACGATTCTTCGGTTTGACAGAAGTGTTGATCAATCAAATGACTGTAGGGTGTGGGTGTGAGTGAAGTGAAGAGCAATATCCGAACCCACATCCACGCACACCCACACCCTGTCAGAAACAAAATATTAAGCAGAATAGAAATTGCAAGTTGAGTTAAGTATCAACATATTTCAGATTATGCTTCCCTCCGAATTATAAATAAATTCATTATAATCGAAAAAAACTTATTTTCAGATTTATATGTTCTAGAAACTATTTTCCTCTATCGTTTTAAAATCATGTATTAAAATCAAATAATTAATGTCTAAATTTATTTATAGATAAAGAGTAAAGAAAGATGTTAAAATATCACGAAAAAGTATTGATGTCATTGGTACAGTAATCTTTTTTCCTAGCGAAGTATTTTTCTACCAAACCAAATCTCGAGAATACGATTAAATGAACATTGGATTTTATCATCTAAAGCAAGATTGTATTATAGATGTGCATAGTCTCTTGTTTTTGAGAAATTTTCCATTAACATCTATATCAACATCCTTTTTTTCAGGTCATAAATAGCATGATCGTTTGCATGATGAAGCAAGCAATAAATGCTCCGATTTGTCGTAATCACTCTGAAGACTTGCTTATTTTCGCAATGGACATACATCAACTTCAAATAGATCTATGAATTAATGCTTCGTCTTTACTCAGAATAGAAATAATTCAAGTGTAAAAATTTCTCTACGAAACACTGAAGCGACTAAAACTCTTAAATAGACAATAGCCTAGATTTCTGCTCAAATTCCATACGATATCTGTGTAAAAGTACGAGAAACTCGTGGATCATTCTAATTCCTGATAGCTTGCATAACGAATAAACATGGATTGATTTTCCTCGTATGTTTTATCTTATAGCTTGATTGACAATTTACTGACTGATATTATTAAAAGTTTTCAAGAATGGAAGCCATGAAAGTGACAAGAAAAACATAAGTACTATTGATGGTAACTTAACAAAATCATAAGTAATGCTGTTTCGTTTTACAAATAACTTACTAGCAGCACGTTGAGCAAAGAATTGCGGACTGTCACCAAAATTAGCCATCATAATAATTACTGATTGCAACTATATTAAAGACACGCAAGTAGCTAATGTTTTCTTGCTTGCGATTGCAATTGATAAATCTATTTATATACGTATATGTATGTATATTGTGCATGATCATTGAAAGGTACATAATGGTTAAAAACGAATATGCAAAGCTTTGTGTCACAAATAGACGTAACAGACGAGCATACCCATTGTTATATAAGAGCATTTGCTTGAAAGTGAAATGTGCTTCTTAACGGAAGAGAGAAAGGGCGATGATATGTTTTCAAATAAAGGACATATATTGAACTATTATCTTGAATATATACTATGTTGCTTCTTCTTTAAAATATGCACGTTCTATATTACTATGCTGGCAGACGAGAAAAAGCATAACAAGCTAAACAAGTCAATAGCAAAAGCATTATGTGTGAAACTCTCTAAAAGTTTTGCAGGAGGCTGAATGTGAGATTCATATGGATTGGTAAAGAAATTTATTCTCTATCAAACTGTACTTGCAGTTTAGTTCCCGAAAAAATATTTCTACGTATAAATAATCAACACAGTATGACCAGTCGAAACACCAATCATCTATAGTGACTTTTTTCTCGGAAATAAGGCTCAGAACGAAAAACTGACTCGGTCACAAGAACGGTTTCCTATTCAGCAATAATTGACGTTAAAGTAAACCCTGAAAAAATGTTAGGACATTCAGTGTTACCAACTGCATTCGTATATGCTCCAACTTTGATATTGATTAAATGATTCAGGGTCTAGTTTTGG